ACACACACACACACACACACACACACACACACACACGCACACACACACACACACACACACACACACCACACACACACACACGCACACACACACCCACGCACACACACACACACGCACACACACACACACACACACACACACACACACACACACACACACACACACACACACACACACACACACACACACACACACACACACACACACACACACACACACACACACACACACACACACACACACACACACACACACACACACACACACACACACACACACACACACACACACACACACACACACACACACACACACACACACACACACACACACACACACACACACACACACACACACACACACAGACATACACGCAGAACACACACACACACACAGCACATCACAGCAGCAGCAGCACATCGCAGCAGCAAAGCAAGCAGCAAAGCCAGCAGCACATCGCAGCAGCAAAGCAAGCAGCAAAGCCAGCAGCAAAGCTAGCAGCAACTCCAGTGTCACACGAGGGGTGAGTTTCAAGGCCGAGTGTGCGGGGTGTGTCTGGGTTCTAACACTACATAGCACTAGGGGTGGAATCAGTTGCATCCCTATATCCTAGGCATAGGCCGGGCTACGGGTAGGATATAGGATTATATGGGGGATGACATGCACATCTTGCACATGCGGCCATCTCGTTGTTTTTGGTGAGTGGAAATGCTTGCTTGCCTCTCTCCTGTCCCGCTTACAACCGGCCCCCTAAGATTTCAGGGCACCCGAGCCAAAGCCCTAGAGCATAAAGAGCGCCGAAGCCTCCCCCCCCCCTTCCGTCCCCTAGGTATTCGGGGTGTTTGTTGGTTTCAGTTCTTTGGGGGTTTGGTTGTCGTGCCTGGGGTTTGGTTGTCGTGCGTGCCAACCCTCAGCCCCTGAACCCAAAACCCAGCCCGATCCCCTTGAACCCGAACCCCAAAGCCAAAACCCCGAACCCGAACCCCAAAGCCAAAACCCCGAACCTCGAACCCTGCCTGTTCTCTTTGGCCAGGTCCCTGCCCATTCCGTTGTGCCACCGGCCTGGACCCTGGACTTGGTAAGCTGCTGCCTTGGTTGGGGTGTTCTCCTTCCTGCTCTCGTCCTTGAGGTCACTGAGCTGTCTGGCAAGCCGGAGGATGTGGTCTTGGCCTCAATCTCGCCCTGGGCTTTCGGTGGTCTGTGCGTCTGGCTTGTATGCTGCTCAGGCTCGCGATCCGATGATCGATGAGAAGGTGCCTGCCAACCCTGAGCCCCTGAACCCAAACCCAGCCCGATCCCCGAAGCCTCCCGATAGACCCTGAAGCCCGGAAGCCTTTCCTTTGCAGGCAGTGGCATCCTCGTGGACAACGTCGCTGGCCTGGACCTTGGATCTCTCCTCGCTGTGGGTACCATTACGAATCTTGAGCAGGCCGATGCTGATGCTCCTGGTCCTTGCAAGGCTGTGGATTCCGAGTTGGGTTCGGTGTGGTTGCTTTCCCTTATCGGTATTGTCTGCTAGGAGCCCTCGTCGTCGGCAACATTGACCGTGCCGACCCCGGATCCATGCGATTGCAGCCTTGGGGTATGCTGCCGCCTTCAACCTTTCGGATCCAGGTTGGCGATCTCTCGACCCAGGACAAGGCCATGGCGTGTTCCACTGAATCTCCTCTGGCTCTTGCTGTGCGGTGGCTTGAATGTTCTCTCCTGCTTCAGGTCCCTGATGAGCATCCACATGAGAGAGACATGGCCGCTGCCTTGTATTCGTTTGTTTGGATTGTTTGGACTGGTACTTCTCTGGCATCTTGGCACAGGTGTCATCTGACGACCCAGCCATGCGTCCGATGCCTGGTGTCTGGGCCTTGAACCCCTTCTCGGCTGCCCGTACGCACGATTTGGTTAGGTCTTGGCGCATCCTACTTCAACGGTTGTCCGGCCTTTGAGCCCTGCTTGAGGTGCCGGTGCCTGAGAATGCGCCGTCCGTTGCATCGGCGGTCCTGACCCTAGCGTGTCAGCGACCTCACTTGGATTAGGGGCAACGTCTGTTGGCCAGGTTGCTGTGTCGGATGCTGACAATGCGGTGGTAGAGACCATTCCCGTGGAGGCCTGTGCTGTACTGATGGGTCGAGGCGTGGCCGGCTTGCCCGATGAGGCACTGGAGCAGCCGGTGCCGGTGCTTGTGGCCCCGGCGTATCTTTCGAGGGTTGTCCTTCCTCGTGCCAGGTGTGAGAGTTTTCCTTGCCTGCGACTGCATGATTTTGGCAGGTCTCGACAGCTGAAGCTTCTGATCCTTCTGGCCGTGGTGATGGCTCCGTTGCCCTTGCATGATACTCAGAGCCAAGTTGGTGCTAGAGACTTGTTCTTCTGGCAGCCGTGCTGTCCAGGCCACATCAGCTCCTTGCTTAGCAGTGGCCTCGACCGTCCCGGCGGAGGCCCACCTCCTGCGGCATATGGGGACAACTTCGTCTCCTGAAAAGTTGAACACTGTGCATTGCTTCTCATCGCTGTTTGTAGTGCTCCTGAGCCCCCCCTCGTAGGTGTGCATAGCATACTTGCCAGCTTCTCCTGAGCGGACATGGCGCCACAGGCAATCTCAGCTTCCGGTGGTGGCATAGCATTGAGACCGTTCCGCCTACCGCCGAAGCAGGAGAACCTCGTGCTGCAAATGCCACAGGCCATCTCAGCTTCCGGTGGTGGCATAGCATTGAGACCGTTCCGCCTACCGCCGAAGCAGGAGCACCTCGTGCTGCAAATCGACACTGACACGGAGCCATCGGAATCGCCTGGTGCAGTATTGTGCGAGAAGACGGAGAAGAAGGATGAGCCCATGCTGCTGGACTCTGAGCCTCTGTGCCAGGACGATGGGCTTGTGCTGCTCGTCACAGACACTGGGCCTCCTGCTTCAGTATCGGCAAGCCAGGTGGCAATCGAGCCATGCAAGATGTCTTTACCTGATTGGGATGCCATGCCGACCCCGACGCCGGCGAGATTGGCAGCAAGCCGGGCAGCGATGTTGCCGCCGACGGTGTCTCCTCCTCACGAGTGGGACGCAGTGTCTCCAGAAACACCTGGACCGACAAGCCCGGCAAGAGTATGGCCTGTGCCGGATTGGAGTGCGATGCCAACCTTGACGCCGGTGAGAATGGCAGTAAGGTGGTCGCCGACGGTGCCTCCTCCTCCTCGCCGGTCGGATGCAGTATCCCCGATCTTTACTGCCATTGAGATTGACGTGTGCATGGCCCCGACGACACCCAGCAACCCAGATCGCCGCCGCCGTCGTGCTAGGCCATATTCACCCGTCATGTCTTTCGCGCTCAAGAGGACATAGAGGACTCAGCGGAGCAACGAGTGATTCATACGATTGATCTTGGCTCTCGTGTTTGTCTTAAACCGATGCTAGGGGAACAGCTCGTCTGAGAGGATGCGAGAGGGCAAAAGGATGCTTTTCGGGTACCTGCATGCCGTTGCTGCCCACATTGGTATCGCATGGTGTCATATGGCCAGGTGGCTGCTGATCCTCCATCACATGCATCGTCGAGTGCAGCCGGATCAGCCGGTGAAGCTCCTGCGGAGGCGGTGTGTCCAGCACTAAAACTTAGTACACACTTGCCTGTGTTAGGCTGCTGATGCCGTGGGTGCCCGTGATCTTCCTGGCTCGGTCGCTACCTTGGTCACTGCCGTGGTGTGTCCAGCACTGCACCGTTGGTGTCCACTTGCCTGTGTTAGGCTGCTGATGCCGTGGGTGGCCGTGATGTTCCGGGTTCGGTCGCTACCTTGGTCACTGCCGTGGCGTGTCCAGCACTGCACCGTTGGTGTCCACTTGCCTGTATTAGGCTGCTGATGCCGTGGGTGACCGTGATGGCGTGTTCAGCACTGCACCGTTGGTGTCCTCTTGCCTGCATTAGGCTGCTGATGCCGTGGGTGACCGTGATCCTCCTGGTTCGGTCGCTACCTTGGTCAATGCCGTGGTGTGGTGTGTGGTGTGTGGTGTGATGTGATCTGTGCTGTGTCTGTGGCAGGCCGGTGCTTCGGACACGGACGACTTCTATCAGCCTTCAGCTGATCTTTCAGGACTGTACAAGCATTCTAATCATTCTATGGTTGCAGGTAGAATCATGTGCAGCCATTAAATGAGCTGGATAAAAACCAGACGCCCTAGGTTCGAGGTCAGGCCCTCTGGATTTTATCCCGGCCCTCTGTCTGTAGGCACTCTGCTGCCTTCGGCAAACATCAGGAGGGATAAAATCCAGGCGTCCCAAGGTTGTAGGTCAGGCCGGCTGGATTTTATCCCGAGTGCGCCCCAATCAGTGGTTGCAGGTCCCAGACGTGACAAGCGATAAAAGCCAGCAGGTCTAGGGTGCAGGCCACGCCACTTGGATTTTATCCGGAGAAGCATGAGGTGCTTGTCGTCCAGCAGAGTCGCACGGGTTCTAGGGAGTACCACCAGACAGTCTCGGTGCAGGGGTCAGGCCCGCTGGATTTTATCCCTGCTATGCGGGCCTTTTCGTCCGGCGGCGATGCTTCCAGACCCGATAAGAGATGAAAGCCAGGCGTTCCGAGGTATAGGTTGGGCCCCCTGGATTTTATCCCCAGTGGTGGGGTGGGGTGGCATGGGGTTGGTTGGGCTGGGGTAGGGCGGGGTCCTGGGACTTCTAGGAAGTACCACCACCAGACAGTCTCGGTGCAGGTCTCTTGGTCCAGCAATCCTTCCAGACCTGATAAGAGATGAAAACCACACGCCCTAGGTTGGAGGTCAGGCCCACTGGATTTTGTCTCCGCCCTCTGTCAGTAGGCAGTCTGCTGCCCCCGGCAAACATCAGGAGGGATAAAATCCAGGCGTCCCAAGGTGTAGGTCAGGCCCACTGGATTTTATACAGACTGTCTTTCGCACGACGCATGCGGCGACACGCCGAGAAGCAAACATGAGAATTAATAAAATCCAGGCGTCCCAAGGTGTAGGTCAGGCCCGCTGGATTTTATACAGACTGTCTTTCGCAGGACGCATGCGGCGACACGCCGAGAATGTCGCGAAGGATGGCGTGTATCTCGATGTGTTGGACGTGATGCTGTGTGCTCGGTTGCATGCTGTGGACTTGAGACTGGTGTTGAACATGGATCCGGAAGCAACTGGCGAATCCACACTCGAGTCCGTTTCTGCTGGGGCGTATCTTGAAGGGCTGTCAGGCTGGCGGATTAGGGAGCCGGAAGAGTGCACCATGACCTCGGTGATCGCCCTGACTCGAGCCGACTTCGAGCCGGCTGCCTCGCCGGCTGAGCTCAATCACTTTATCCCATGCTGGACCGCCGGTGAGAAGCCCTGCGAGGAGGAGGTAGAGCGCCTCAGAGAGTGGGGGAGGGACATGAGGTGCCTCGTCTTCAAAGGTGGTAGGCGATACTGAAACATAGAAGGTCCGAGAGTGCCGCCTTAGTACTATACACCTGTGTCCAGGCATTGCTTTCTGCAGCAGATTGCCGAGTGCGACGATGAAGCTGTTGTGGCTTCAATTACAGATCAGATGCACACCGTGGCGATGCGGAACCTTGCTCTACAGTCCCTTGTCAGGCGACTCTACCACACACAGAAGCAGCCCGAGATGTAGGGGCAGATGGCAACTGCGGTGTCTGGAGTATCCTGGGCCTCCTCAAAGGCTCTCCTTTCATGGCAGCCACGTCGGATCAGGCAACACTGAGTGAGATGCGAAGCGTGCGCCAGCAGATCTCCGAGAGTTGGTGCCGCCTTGCTGGTGACTCCCGCTGCCCTAGGCTCCAGGCTTCTTCGTGGTGCCGCATCTTCGACATCATGCTCCCCGGCGACATTGGTGATGCTGGCGATGCCTCCAGTCCTTCCACTCCTGTCAAAAGATGCAAGCAGGAGCCAAGCCAGGACTTCAAGTGCTTCGAGCAGCTCTCGCCGCCGAAGGTCTCAGCCACGGCACTCCGAGCAACTGCTGCTGGACTGGTCCGTCCAAGATCAGAGACAGGTCCGAGTGTTCCACTGAAGCTGGAGCGGGCCGATCCTGCCACAAGCACTGCAAACATACTGGGGGATCTTCGCAAGCCGCAGCAGGCCAAGAGCAGGAAGCCTCCTGCCTGTTCCAATGTGCCAGAGTTCCAGAAGATCAAGAAGGAGCAGCATGAGCAGCCGACGAGCCAGCAACCTCCTGCCTCGTTCCGATGTTCCGGCGATGAAGACGACGAATGAGGCGCCTGCTGCCCCTCTGAAAAGCGAGGCACTCGTCAAGCAGGAGGCTGCAGATGACGACTGCGCCCAACACAAGGCCAAGAGGAGGAAGACAGGACAAGAGCAGCAGAGGACCCGGCATCTTCAGCGAGCACGGAGCTACCTAGCGGAGCGGAACATCTACGCAGGTTTGTTCTTGAGCAGACACGGTAAAGGAGGGTTGCTTAAGGGTGTGAGCTCGTGCGGGGTCGGCGGTTGGTCCAGGCTTGTAGACAAGCTTGTAGATGGGTCAATGCCGGAGGGGTGCTCCACCTGCACTGCCATGCTGGCGGAAGCAGGGTTCAGCATGTCTTCCTTTCTCGACCATGTACAGGCTCAGGTATCGACGCCCGGCCAAACTGACAATGCCGACGGGCAGCAGATCGTATCGGCCCCACAAGATGCAGGCGAGCCACAGCCCGTGTCGGCCCCACAAGATGCAGGCAAGCAACAGCTCGCGTCGGTCCCTGTGAGCGAGCAACAGATCGTGGCGGGCAGGACACAGAAGCGGCCGAGCAAGCGGGTAGCCAGGGTGAAGATGAACAGCAGCCAGCAGAGCAAGACGTCCGCCAGCTGATCTTGAAAGATCCGTACTTGCGGATGCTTCCGGAGGGCAGCTTGTGCAAGAGATTCCCTGTTGAGTGCAGTCTGTGTGTGAGGGCAACCACTCGCAAGAAGGCAGTCTTCGACCTTGTCAGCTTAGAACGAACGAAGTTTTACTACCAGCACGTCCAGAGCGCTACCCATCGCCGGCACCTTGCAGCCCGCGAAGGTGGCAACTCGAGTCGATCAAGTGCAGGTGCTGTCAAATCGAGTCGATCAAGTGCAGGTGCTATCGGTGCTGGATCAGGTGCAGGTGCTGCAACGGCTGCTGCCATGGAGGACGAGGCTACGGCAACTGCCGAGCCCCCTGCCTTGAAGTGCCAAGGGTTCCACGTCCAAAAGGCTCCACCAGAGGCCAAGCTGGCTTCGCTTCTCCCTGCCTTCGAGCTCTGGGCCGTGTACAATCAGCTGAACAGTGGCCTGCACCAGAAAGATGCCCGGAAGCATCAATACCAGCATGACATGACGACGGGCCACTTCATCCTGAGACACTACGACTGTCAGGCAGACGAAGCCTATGTGCCTGGGCCTGATGTGCCGGCTCTGTGCGAGAAGTGCCGCAGCTTAGGTAACGATCGATGTGTTCTTCGCATGGTGCAACGATTCTATGTCAAGCATTGCGGTGCTCGACTCTTGGCAGCTAAACTCTTCGACAGCGACGACGTGGAACCTCTCACGCAAGAGATCCGAGCCAGCCCCGTGTATCAGTGTGCTGCGAGGTCTCTCGAGGCATTGCTTGAGTTGGACAGAGCCGGCTTGCAGCAGTTCGTCCGTGCACAGTTCCTTAGCACATCGCCCAGTTCCTGGTCTGCAGCTCTGGCCGACTTCATCTCGGCGGTGGTGCGGCCGTGTCTCAAGGTCTCTGTGACGAACTGGAACAAACAGGTTGCTACCTCGAAGCACGGATCCGTGAGGGCCCTCGCGGATCGCCTAAGGCACCGGACGCTCTCCAGCATCGAGGACATCGAGCTCAAGCTGGCTTGTGCGGTCGCAGGCGGAGTGCTGCATCAACACCCTGTGATACAGGGCATATTAGTAGCTGCAGTTGAGCAAGCTCAACGAGCTGCACGAGGGAAGTCTGGTTTCCGCAGCCACAAACTGTGCGAGCTAGAACTCTCGCTCATGGCAGAAGTGGGTGTGGCAATCTCCATGGCGGCGAACAATGGGCACTTGCTCAAGCAGTTCGGCCTTGCATTTGCTGTGCCCAAGGCTCCACTTGACAACCTGCACGGCGCCAACCTGCCGGAGCCGTTCCTGGCACTCCGAGACCCGGCCATGCTTCAGGAGAACACGCTCATCATTGACTCGCAGTTCGGATGCACGCCTCCCGATGCCCCTAAAACCTCTGCCCGCTCCTGGGTGCTAGCCTTCGACCTCACATACCTGGTCCGTGGCTTGGATGTGGTGAAGCTCCGCCAAGGCAAAGGCTTCATCGGCTCGGCCTTTCATCCTTCCAGTCTCGCTTCCAGGTCGGCTTTGGAGAACGGTCCCGAGGATGCGATGGACAAGATGGGCACTGGCTTCATGGCCCTCAAAGACACGGAGGCCAGCTCGAAAGACACTGAGGCCACCTCCAACGTGGAGAACACGGACACCGGCATTGTGGATGCATCCCGTGTAGACTATGCGAAGCAGGTCCTGGAGTTCTTGGTGTGGAAACCTGCCTTGCAGAAGCTTCCTCGCTTTTCCTTGTGTTGCATCCCCTTAGCCTACGACTACACGGCCAAAGAATTGCTGACCATGGTTGGCCACGTCCTCGAGTCTTGCAACCGCATCAAGTGCATCGTCTTTGACAATGCTTCCACACACCACTTGGTGAAGAGCCTGCTAGTCGGTCAGCCAATCAGTGCGTGCACATCGCAGGAATGGCGCCAGATGCCATTCTGGCGCCGTCTGACATTCGAGAGCTTACCAGACTGCTGCCTGCCACGGTGGCCTTTCCGCATTCCTCGGATCGAGGGTGAGGCCGTGTATGGGCTGAATGGGCCAGCCCACATTCAAAAGAATTTCGTGGGCCAGTGTCGGTCACCCGCAAGAACGCTGCACTTTGGGTCCTACTGGGCTGACTGGACCTCGTGTCTAGACCTATGTATGCCGCCTGGATCGTACCAAGGGTTCGACTTGCAGAGTGATCTAGAAGCGGCCACGTTCCTCAACGCCTATCACCTCATCACGGAACTGACTGGAGAGATCAGCGAGGTCAAGGTGCCCTGGGCCCTGACAGGTGCATTGCTCCTCAATCATGAGCTCTCTGCAGCACAGCGACTCGAAAACGCGATGACATCCTTCATCCTCCTCGACCTCGGTGACATGCTGGCCCGTGAGATGTGTGTGCAAAGGAACCTGCCTAAGGGCTCCCTGTGGCTTCACAAAACCACGCAAGGCAACCTGCAGCAACTCGCCGGCTTGGTGTCCATTGCTTGCTGCACTCTGGTGCCCGGCACTGCCTGGCTTCCTTGGCGAAGTACGGAGCTGCACTTGGAGCAGTTCTTTGGCTATCTCCGGTCCCAGTACAGCAGCTCCCAAATGTCCATGCGAGACTACCTCTACGCCAGCAGCCGACAAATGCAACAAACAAGCATGCGACTGAAGCATAATCCTCCTCAGCCGGTCGCCTACAAGGCCGAGGCCAGTGTTTCAGCCGAGGAGTATGCAGCTTGTGCTCGGCGAGCTCTTGATGCAGCTCTGCTGCTCACGGAGTGCTGCTCCGTACACAGCAAGCCGAAACTGCTCAAGTCGTACATCGCCTACTGCACTCAGTTGATGCAGGACAATCCGGAGCCAGCTGACATGGGGGCTGGACTGGACATCGGGGACGAGGTCACCGAGGAAAACACCGAGGACTTCCCAGAGGATGTAGAGCACCCGCCCGACAACCTGCAACAGGCGGACATGACAGCCGCCGATGCCGAGTGCTTGCAGCTCCTCGCACAGGTCAAGGCGAGGGAAATCGCTGACGAGATCTCCTGGCAGGACCCAAAACTGCCCGAAGTCAGTGCCCAAGAAGCTCAGCGCCTGGGAACTGGCAAGCAGCCCCTGCCGGAAGCATTGGACAAGGAGAGCTGGGAAGAGGTCACTGCCGAGAAAGATGCCGAGCCGGTGCCGCTGCTGAAGGATGCTCGATCTGGCAAGATTCTAACATTGTTCATCAATCTCGCACCTGAAAATGCTGGTATTTACAGCACTTGTCTTTGCGAATTTCATGTATTTTTACTGTTTTTGGGTGTCTCGATTTTCGTGCCCAAAACCTAGCGATCAGAATCAAGGTTTTTTGGGCCTCATTTTGATCATTATGTTCATCCAAATCGTTGGTTTGGAAAGCATCCATGTCCAAAACCTAATGACGTCCATGGTCTAGCGCATTTTGGTTTGGAGAGCATCCATGTCCAAAACCTAACGACGTCCATGGTCTAGCGCATTTTGGTTTGGAGAGCATCCATGCCCAAAACCTAATGACGTCCATGGTCTAGCGCATTTTGGTTTGGAGAGCATCCATGTCCAAAACCTAATGACGTCCATGGTCTAGCGCATTTTGGTTTGGAGAGCATCCATGTCCAAAACCCAATGACGTCCATGGTCTAGGGCATCTTGGTTCGGAGAGCATCCATGTCCAAAACCTAATGACGTCCATGGTCTAGCGCATTTTGGTTTGGAGAGCATCCATGTCCAAAACCTAATGGCGTCCATGGTCTAGCGCATTTTGGTTTGGAGAGCATCCATGTCCAAAACCTAATGACGTCCATGGTCTAGCGCATTTTGGTTTGGAGAGCATCCATGTCCAAAACCTAATGACGTCCATGGTCTAGCGCATTTTGGTTTGTAGAGCATCCCTGTCCAAAACCTAATGACGTCCATGGTCTAGCGCATTTTGGTTTGGAGAGCATCCATGTCCAAAACCTAATGACGTCCATGGTCTAGCGCATTTTGGTTTGGAGAGCATCCATGTCCAAAACCTAATGACGTCCATGGTCTAGCGCATTTTGGTTTGGAGAGCATCCATGTCCAAAACCCAATGACGTTCATGGTCTAGCGCATTTTGGTTTGGAGAGCATCCATGTCCAAAACCTAATGACGTCCATGGTCTAGCGCATTTTGGTTTGGAGAGCATCCATGTCCAAAACCTAATGACGTCCATGGTCTAGCGCATGTTGGTTTGGAGAGCATCCATGTCCAAAACCTAATGACGTCTATGGTCTAGTGCATTTTGGTTTGGAGAGCATCCATGTCCAAAACCTAATGACGTCCATGGTCTAGCGCATTTTGGTTTGGAGAGCATCCATGTCCAAAACCTAATGACGTCCAGGGTCTAGCTCATTGTGGTTTGGAGAGCATCCATGTCCAAAACCTAATGACGTCCATGGTCTAGCGCATTTTGGTTTGTAGAGCATCCATGTCCAAAACCTAATGACGTCCATGGTCTAGCGCATTTTGGTTTGCAGAGCATCCATGTCCAACATGCCCAACCTCTGAAGCTTCTGCACACCTGAGGCCTCTGTAAAAGCACGTGCACTCAAAAAAGGAAGGTTGCTTCAGCGAAACTGATGTTCTCGCTCTCACATTTTGCTCCAAGTAAGCAGGTGCAAACTTGGCCAAATGAGCATTCTCCGGCTTCTCGGGCGTCGGTCCATTATAGAAAGGACACTTCGAACTGTCTTTTCTATGTCCCACCTGCTGACATTTACTGCAGCGGTGTGGACGATCCTTGTCCTTGCTACGCCGCATCTTGGACCGCGACAGCTCTGGCGTCGCACCAGGGGGGGATGAGGTAGTAGCAGTAGTAGTAGTAGTAGTAGCAGAAGTAGTAGCAGTAGGAGTAGTAGTAGTAGCAGTAGTAGCAGTAGTAGCAGTAGTAGTAGTAGTAGTAGAAGTAGTAGTAGTAGTAGTAGTAGTAGTAGCAGCAGTAGTAGTAGTAGTATAGTGTGGTAGTAGTAGTAGTAGTAGTAGTAGCTAACAGAAGTCGGAGAAGTACTAGTATTTACTGCCACTGCTGCTGCTACTGCTACTGCTCCTGCTCCTGCTCCTGCTCCTGCTGCTGCTGCTACTGCCTGCTGTTGCTGCCACTGCTACTATTGCTACTGCTACGGCGACAGAGCAAGTCCCACTCCTACCACCGCTGCTGCTGTTGTCGTGCTTCCTTTCCGTCGGTGAGACGATGATGCTGCCACAGAAGTAGTAAGTCGGAACAGCACTGCTGCAACGTTTGGTCGGACATGTTGCCTCCGTTTGTGAGCTTTTGCAGTGGCTGCGTTGCTTTAGGCCGAAGACACAGGTACAACGATGTCTACCGGCCGAATGACTTCTGCATCCGACATTCTGCAATCCGTGACCCGTAAGCCACGTATTTCCGATGGTTCAGTGAGCATAGAGCCGCACTCCGTGGACCGACGGGTTCATGGACTCTAAGGCGAATCTCTTGAACCCGAAACCATAGTCGGCCTTAGCATCACTAATGCCCCTTTCACTTGCAAAGGTTGTGGTGGGCAATTCGCTGCTGTCCGTTCTCATTGTCTTGCGGTGCCTTGGTGGCTCTTGCGATCGGGAAGCAAGTCGAGCATAAATAAATGGGCGCTGGGCCCTGAACCCTAAACTCTACACTAGCCTGACTTTTGACTTCATCACCATCTTCTCGCAACTGCTGCAGTTGAACAATGCATGCGCAAGGTAATATCATTCACACCCATGCCTGAACTAGCCGCCAGAAGTCGTGATGGTGTCTTGGGTGTACCTGTATAACTCTGTATATGTACAGTTGGTGAGTAATTAACAATTAGATGTTAGATTGCTTGTCCTTTCCGTTGTTTTTTTGGCTTGTTGGTGTATGGTGACCTAAACTCCGGATTGCAACGAAAGGTCATCCTGGGTTCCAACACTCGAAGCCATAAACTCCGACTGTATTTGTCACATAGTGCTTGGGGCTGTAGCGTACAAGGGCGGCTGTTGCCAGAGACCTGGGTGCCAGGTTTGCTGGTGTCCGATTCTCTTTCAAACATTTAGAAACAGTCTCCCATCATCGTCGCTGTGCTACTGACAATATCCCCCAAGAAACTCTTCCGACTATACAGTTCCCTGTATTACCCTCATGTAGCGGCACGTGAACAGCTGTACATCGTTGCCTGCTGATACATCCTCGCTCTGGGAGTTTGGGTTAGGTCCAGAAAGTTGGCTTAATTCTATCCCCCAGGGGCCAAAGGACCTAATAACCAGGTACTCGGGTTTGGGATAGTAGTTATGTAGGTTAGGACTTTGGAAAGAGTATGACAAGAAGGTACTTGGACCCTTAGGATATGGTGGGAGGGTCCCGAATTCCTTCATTGACGTAACGCCCAATACCCCTTAATCAAGGAATATGGCTTAACTTATACAGTTCTTCAGATTATGATTTAAGCTATATTTCTTAATTAATGGGTATTTGAATCCCTAAACCCTATAGATCCCTTTAAAGGAACCCTAAGCATATTCCTTAATTCATTGGTATTGGGGGCTCTCTGGGTTGACGTAGAGCCCGGATGCCTCGACTCTAAGCCCCCCAAAGCCTACAGGGAACTCCAGAAAGTTGGAATATGGTTTCAGGGTAGGATACCCTATAATTTACCAGAAAGGGTTTAGGATAATCATATTCCAACTTTCTGGCTGCTACTATATGCTCGTTTGCGCCACAAGGTAACGCTCTTCCAAAGCCGCCGTTTCAGTTGCTAAGGGACATGTACTAAACGGGCCTGAATAGATAGACTGGGTTTTGAGTCACAGCATGTTGACAAACGGAATATGTATAGGGGCATATTCTCAGTTATCATTGCGAGCCCCCTATGTTAGAGTGTTTGTAGTGAGGATTGTTTTCGTGTTTGGAGCCAACATTAGGGTCAGCTGAACAGGCATGGCAGCGTCTGGTGTCAAGACAAAGGGAAGCATTGATGAACATTGATTTCCGAACACTAAGTCGCCGTTATTGTTTCTTTGTGATGGGAGCTGCAAGCAGGCTAGATGTTTGCTTGGCCAAAGGGGCGGGCTTCCCCAGGATGCTTATGGATGAAGGGTTACGGCGTTTCGGAGTTTTCAGGGTCCGAGATGTTTATGAGGGCCTCAGGCCTAAACCCTGAAACCTGAATGCCACCCTAATCCCTAAACTCTGTGTTCTCTCAAGAAAGGAGCAGCCAGAGTGTGGAAATCGACGAATATTTCGCCGCTTTGCTGCGACGGATAGCTGAGAGCTGTTGCATGCCGGTCTCCTTTCACACATCTTTCTTTGCATGTCTTGGCTTGGCGTAGGGTTTAGGGTCTAGGGTTTAGGGTTTTGCGGCGAGAAGTTCAGAGTTGCAAGGAACCAGGTAGGGCGTACCAGCTGTGCCTGGCATCGGAGCTTGAGGGTTTCGGGTTTGAATAGGGTCTAGGGATGTACAATGGGTTTGGGGTTTAAGGGTTTAAGGGTTTATGGTCTAGGCATTTGCGATGGGTGTGGGGTTTTAGGGTAAGTTTAAGGTTTAGGGTCTAGGGATTGTCAGAGTATGACTGAGCAGATAGTGGCAACAGATATCTAAGGTCATACTCGTATGTCACCACTTCGGCAGCTACACATGCACCAGATGACACAAGCCTTTGCGTGCACATAGTTCATAATGTATATATGCTATAGCTGTTCATTTGTTTGTAAAAAAACATGTGTATATTCAGGCATATACATGTACATACGCATAGCACTACAGGTTTAGGCACAACGACTGTTGCATAGAAACACGGGTAGACTTGGATATAGACGTTAAATCTTATGTGTGTACACTTCCACGCACACATGGCATGCATGCATGCATACATACACTTGTGCATGCGTGCATACGTGCATGCATGCTTACATACATACGTGTATACAAACAACCCTTTCAAACAGATTTCTATGATACCTACAGACATGTATTCATGCATGCCAGCATAGATACATGCGTGCATGCATGCATGCATGCATGCTTGTATGTACATACACACATGCAGGACTGCATGCATGCATACATACATACGTTCATACATACATGCATGTACTCCTGCATGCATGCATACCTGCAAAAATTCACACAAACATGCATCCTTGCATACTCCCTTCAAATATACGGCCACACATGCATGCATACTTGCAGTATCATGCATACAGTACATCCATGCCTGCACATACAAGCATTTGCATGTATGTAATGTAATGCAGTTTAATGCAATGTAATGCAATGTACTGTAATGTATGTATGCACGCATGCATTCTAGCAAGTAGACAGACAGAAGCCACATCGATCGATAGGTACATAGCAGACGGTTAAATGGCAGATAGAAAGACTGGTCGTTTACTGATTTGTTTATTTACTTGTCGTCTGATCTTCATTCATGGCAATAGCACATGTTGGTGCTGCATCCACATGTACTTGCACGTATAGCGCATAGTGTGTTAATGAGCTCCCGTTGGAGACAGCGTCTTACTTAGCAGAGTTTTGCCTAGTAGGTGAGTTTGACGAGAATTAACCGCTTCATGGCAAAACCTTTCGGAAACCCGAAAGCAAAAGCTGGGCCCGTGAACTGGGAAGCTCAGCTTTACTGAGCAGAAAGGCATGGTGCGGGCGGTCTAGTGTTTACGTTTTTTGTTTGATTTTGGGTTCAGAGTTTAGTGTGTAAGGGTTTAAGAACTAGGCTTAAACTGGTGCTAGTTTGAAGCAGCGAGCATCAAAGACATAGCCCCCGCTGAAACCAAAACCATATTTTGCGTAAGCGTAAGTTTCCAAGACGTAAGTCTTAAACTTGAAGCAGGGAGACCGAAGACAGACTTTCTGAATTTGTTTTCAATAAAACCTAAGTCGCATATGGTGCACTGAGCTTTGGATTCCTACAACCAGGATTTACGGACCTAAGTTTCAACTCCGATTCAACTCCCCTGACCCCCAAACCCCTTATCCCAACTCTAAGCTGCAAAACCGTCCCTCAAGCAGCGTCATCGCAACCCTTAAAGGAACCTGAAAGGAGCCCTCTTCAAGCTCTGCAGCCGTAGCCCAAACCAACTCTCAGGAAGGGAGAAGTAATCCTTTCCCCCTAACCTTACACCCCCTCCTCCCCAAGTAAAAAAGTTGATTTCCGGTGGTTTATTTTGTATGTTAGGGGGGCTTTCTATAGGCAACCAGTCAGCGGCTGATTGATGCAGAAAGACGAGGGAGGGAGGGAGGGAGTGATGGTAACTATACCTTAAACCCCTACCTAAGCCCAAACCTTTAAACCCCAACAACAGAGATCAAATCCCGAAACAACACCTTGTAACATTGAAGCTACCTCGACTCCTAGCGCTAGTTATCGTTGCCCTAAACCTCCTTAAACCCCAAGTATTTAAACCCGGGCCTAAACTCGCGAATGAGTTTCACCATAATTTCAGAAACACTACCTCCTAACATTAAGACTACCTCGACCCCTACCTGCTAGTTAGCCTAAGCCTGTAGCCTCCATACTTATTTAAAGCCCTGATTACATCTTGAAGCCCTACGCTCTATAGGGCCCTAAGCCCCTAAACCCTAAGCCCTAGGCCTTGAGCCCTAAACTCTAAAGCCCTAAACCTTAAGCCCTTTTCCCGTAAACCCAAAAGCTTTGGTCCCTTCGGTTTGATTAGTACCGCTGTAATCCTGGCTCTATTAGAAACCGATACAATCCTAGGCTTCCCCTGCTGTTTTGGTTAACTTTCAATTGTGGGACCGAAACCTCGAAATTCCGGTGGCCGGGAGTTTCATATTAGAGGGGGTTTGATATTAGGGGGAAGGGATTATTCAGGATTCTACTCTATACGATAAAGGCACCCTAAACCATAAATCCTGAACCCTAAACCCTAAACCCCAAATCCTAATCTAGTTCTCATGCCCCTTGCCCCACACCAGCCAACTCTCGGCAAGGCAACCCTGAACCATCTGAACCCTAAACTAAACCCTAAACCCCAAACCGTCTCACAGGAAGGGAATAATTTCTTCTTGTCGGTGATCGTTTGCATCGAAGTCTCCAGCTCCTCGCTACTTCAGGAGTTTGAACTTTTAGGGTTATATAAGTTTAAGAGTTTAGGTTTGAGGGCTTGGTCTTAGGGTTTGGTGAAGTTTAGTCGTCAGGCTGCAGTAGACAATTTACGGGGCTTAGGATTTAAGGTTTAGCATGGTTTGGCTTCAATTCCATCCCCTTGCTTGGGGGAGCTGAGGGTTCTTTAAGATTCCATCTGGCCCCGAAGCCCTCAATACAATTCGGGGCAACGCGAAGTTGCTTAACTAGGACAGGCACCCCATGTCCTAAACCCTAAACCCCTAAACCCTAAGACTTTAAACCCTGAACACCTAAAGCCTAAACCCCTAAGCCCCAAACTCTGAACCCTAAAACCCCTATAAACCCTTCTTTTAAACCCTTTATAGCCTAGTAGTAGAGTAGGTAACCTTGGACCTTTTGGGCGTAGTATAGCCCCTATATCATCCCTATATACCCAAACAGGTTAGCCTTTAGTTAGGACCTTAATAGTAGCCTTATTATAGACTCTTACTGTATGGGGGCGCACAACACTAAACCCTAAACCTTACCCTAAACCCTAAACCTTGCCCTACACCCTAAACCTTGCCCTAAACCTAAACCCTAAACCTTACCCTAAACCCTAAACCTAAGGTAAGGATAGGGTTTAAACCTTCAGTTTTTGGGGGGCAGCTCCAGGGCCTAGCACCAGTGCAGCAGCAGGATGACCCAGCACTTGCACAGTTTAGGGATTTAGGGTTCAGAGTTTGGGGGTTTAGGGGTTAGGGGTTTGGGGCTCAGAGTTTAGGGGTTTGTGGTTTAGGGCTCAGAGTTTGGGGGTTTAGGGGTTTGTGGTTTAGGGCTCAGGTTTGAGGGGTTTAGGGTTCCGGCCTTAGGAAGTGTTTTGAGCTCTTGCGGCATTTCTGGTTTGACGTCATAAACGGGTAGACTGGAACAAGAAGTCGCAACTGTTTTTCGCAGTGACCTGACATGTGAGGTATCCCGATGCCGTCATGTCAAACCTCACTTAGATTATTTCTCAGAAACTGACGAGATCAAAATTTAATCCCTACAGTCCGCTAAAGCTCCCAAGTTTTAAACGGCAACAACTCGACAATTGGCGCCAGAACCGAACCTTGCCAAGATGCTACGACCCTGGGCCCCACCGAATCAAGACTCCGAAGTTTTACTTAAAGGGCCAGGGGACCACGTAAGCAGGACATAGTGGAGATGCATGGAGGACTAGAACCTATTTATACCAAGTCCCCGGGTCGTTTAGTATTCTTGTAAACAAGCTGAGAAAGCCATGTGGCCCAGTAGAACCCTATCAAAAACCTGTTGAAATGAAGCACTGGCTACAGCACCCTCCCCAAACCTTTCCCCCCCCAAACTCCAGCCCCAAACCCTAAACTCTTAATATAATATAGGGGCCTCATAAATACCTATATATACTATTTCGGTGGTTCCTTATTATAAGTATAGTATGACGGGCCGCAAGCCCTGTTTATTAAGGCCCCGATACTATAGAACCCCACTATAGATCCCTTCTAGACACCTTTAAGGAACACTTTACGTAAAGGAACCACTGTTTTAACTATTCAAGCCCCTATATTAGTCGTTAAAGGGGCTCCACCCCTGGTCAGGCTTTTCGCTGGCGGTGGTCTTTGCGGGAGCCTTGAGTGGCTACTGGGCCGGTTTAGGGTACAGAGTGTCTGTAACCCTAAGGCTCCATGTATTTATATAGTGCATACTTAGGCCTTAAAGTACCTATATAGGGATCCCTTTAAGGCTTAAGTATCTACTAGAAAGGTACATGGAGCCTTGGGGTACAGGCTCTTTCCTGGATATAGTATTCTAACTGCACCTAGGGCTTCGATGTACGGTTTAGGGTTTAGGGTGTGCTTTATAAGGGAGTTTTGAGGGGTTCTGGAAGGGTTTCATCTGGTTGAAAAGAATCTCTGAGGGTGCTTTAAGGTTTTCAGTGTCGAGGTTTTGGCCTGAGTGTACAGCGAAACCGCTCCTCAAGAATCTGTTTGGGCTAGGTCAGCGGGGCTCAAATTCTTAGCTCTACTTCCTTGCTGTTTGGGCATTCTGCAGGTTTCAGGGAGCTTCAGATTCTGAGCACGTTCTTAGCCAGGGTTTGAGCCAAGGATCACAGGCATTAAGGAGCCAAGCATTCTTCCAGTTTTTTCTCTGTAGTTCGCTAAGTCCCTGAGTATTCAATAAGGGCAGGTGGGTTTAGGGTTTTCGGGTTTAGGGTTTTAGCTAAACAGCCATGGAGCCTGTGAGTGTGGCTAGTGATGAAGGCATGGAGGCTGAGTTTGAGATCTCCGAGCATCCTAGTTTGAGATCTCCGACACTCCTTCAGCTACCTCGTCCTCTGCCCTCCGTGAGAAACCCAATAAGGAATACAAATTTAGATTGTTAACCCTATCCCAAACTAAACCCAATAAGGAACACAAATTTAAATGTTTAATCCGATGCCAACCATGAACTAGAACAGGCCTCCTCGCACCGGTACAGTCCTTGCACTTTCACTTGCCTCCGTGCAGGAGGAAGGTTCGGCTAATTTCCTTCTGTCCTCCTGGTATCAAGGCGCGGGACTACCCAGAGAGCCCAATACCCCTGAATTAGGGAATATGGCTCAAATTATATAATGTGAAGCCCTATACAATTTAAGCCATATTCCTTAATTAAGGGGTATTGGGCTCTCTGGGTACCGAATCTTAAAGAACCGGCTGACCAGGAGTCTTTGCTTTGATTTCCAGTACAGTTTCCTTCCTTACCCATAGGCTCCATAGTAGTTCCTTGTGGGGTTTACCTTACAGGGTTCTAAATATGAACCCCGAAAAGGACTTACTATGGAGCCTCCAGGCAAAGAGGTATAGGTTTTCTTTTTGTTGATCTACGCTGCAGGGTTCGGCGTTGTTGCCGACGGTAACATCAAGGCCCTCCCGAGACTCTATATTTAAACCTTGAGCCCGAAACCAGCAACCCCGAACACCCAGACACCTAAACCCTTCAAGCCTAAATCCCTGAACCGCGTAAACCCTCAACCCCCAAAGCTTAAATCCCTAAATCCTGCACGGCCACCAAGGCTGGATAGGGCAGAGGGCCGAATTGGGTCGGGAAAATAGCCGGATGTCCTCGGATCTATCTGCCGTGTCGATGCTGCTGAGGCGACTACCTCTGTTTCCGTCGAGGGTCCTAGAAGGGTGTAGGGTTGAAGGCTCCAGGGTCTTATCATGCTTTTGGGGTATGTTGCGGCACGGTCCCGGATCGGTGTTGGCAAAGGCCCTAAACCCATGAACAAACCCTACACTAGGATGCCCAGTAGTGCCAGGGTCCGTCGGACGCTGACAAGTGGGAGAAAAAAAGTAGTACGCTTATTCCCTTTTAGTAGTTCTGTTTCCTTATACAGCTACCCAATACCAAAAAGGGAGCTCTTTTTAGTCCTAGGTTACTGGGCATCCTACGGTTGATGATATGAATCCTGCATTACCTTAAGGACCCTAAGGTATGGGAATTATGGTATATTCCTTATTATGGCTACTGCAGGATTTATATCATCAACCGTAGTACAGTAAACCTTAGAAGCTGCCCCCACCCTGTAATAGTGGTATAATAGGAATATAATAGGGCCCTATTAAAATCCTTATAGTCACTATTACAGGGTGGGGGCAGCTTTTGCAGTAAACCCTAAACCCAAAGCCCCGAAACGGCTGAGCCCTCGACCCGAGCTTTGGGTCGGAGCTATCACGGCACACAAGGTTTAGGGTCTGGGGTTTAGGGGTTAGGGGTTTCGGTTTGGGGTTTAGGGTTTAGGGTTTTAGGGTTTGAGGTTTAGGGTTTAGGAGTTTAGGGGTTAGGGGTTTAGGGTTTAGGGTTTAGGGGTTTAGGGTTTAGGGGTTTAGGGTCTAGGAGTTTAGGGGTGTAATTTGTGCACGTGTGAAGTAGCATGTTGTGTGTGTGCAACATTGTGGCACAAGTGCTCTGAGGGTAAAAAGGCGTAGATACCCAATGGTACAGCTGCGCTAGTCCTTAACACTTGGACGGGTATCATCAGTGCGTGTGTGCAGTGGTTTACAACAACTATAGGTTATCAGCCGTATAGCCTACGGCCTGGTCACAACTGGTTGGTTACAATACAATCAATCAGCGCATGAGCGAACCGGAACTTATTCCTGCAAGTATGGATACAGTTACAAGCACCGTGAACCCTTTTCAGCCCCCGGTCACGGGTGGCCATACAGGGAGCGGCGCCCCCGGCTTAGTTTTCCCGGCACCAGCCTCAGTCCAACAATTCAACGTCTTCGCACCACAGTATAGTGTCGAAGTACACGTTAACCAGATCAGACTGGAAGTCGGAGAACTAGAGGCTCAGGCAGAAGCTAGACACAGGCAACACATGCTGACCTATCAAGAAGCATCCGCAATTCACACAGCTGACTTGGAGCACAGAGCAGAACGAAACCACCTTGAAGTGGTGGCAGAATTGCAAGCAGCCTTGGCACAAAGCGAGTTCAAGGCGGCAAATCGCGAAAGGCTCCTGTTGTCGGAAATGACTTTAAGTCAGGCGCATTCCTATGACGAAGATCAAAGGTTGCGTCAAGAGCTAGCGGAACTTCAACAAAGCCGAATCACAGACGCATTGGATCAACATCTGGCGGAATCACGCTTTGCACAGAACCTCGAAGAACAGGCGAGACGGCACGTCGAGAATTCCCAGGAAGTCATGGTTGAACAGTTCCAAGCACACTTTGAGTTGTTTAGGAACAGGCAGAAAGAAGAGTATGAGGCGTCCCTTGCTGTATGTAGGGAACAGAACGAAGAGCTTCAGGACAGGTTGGATTCTGCGGAAACTGCACTAGAGAAGGTCTTGGATCAGTACAACCCAGCTACTCCAAAGAGTCAGCCAGTGCCTGCTCCAAGCACCCCTGCAGGTCCCTCTGTTGTCCCCAAAGCTCCTCAAGCGCCCATGTTCTCAATGCCGAACGTAATCCCCCAGGGTGCCAGATGTCTGTTCGAGTCAATGAATCCAGGAGGTTTGAATGCTCAGTCCATTCCGTCTGCAACAGCATCTTCAATCCCCAAGGCAGGACCTTCCCAGGCAGCGCCAGGAACGGCGGCCCCTCCAGCGGCCGATTCCGGCACGCCAGGGACGGAGGCTTTCAACACAGGTCTCCTAGAGACCCAAATGGCAATTCTTCAAAGCCTAAGAACCTTAAGGGGTGAGAGCAAAGTCGATGCTGACAAACCCAAAGTGAAAGAAGCAGAGTCCATCAACCTTCCGGATTTCCCAAGTCCAGAGTCGTATCGTTCATGGAAAACGGCAGCTAGGGAAGCGGTCAGGGCAGCATCAGATTCTCCTGATGAGGCGTTTAAATGGGTGATGAAGGCCTACGACAAAGACGCATCGCAGGAATCCCTTCGAGACCCTGAGAAATTCCTCACCCTTGACACGAAACTTCTTGCTGCACTCACCAAAGTCGCTAGGGGAGAACTCTCCCGAGAAATCCTCATTTTTAAGGAGACAGAAGCGGCGAAATTCAGGGCGGTACGAGGACGACAGGTGCTCTACCTCTTCGATCAGTACTTCAAGACGAACGAGGAGGTTGGCTCACTGTACTCCGTGGAGGACCTGCTGAAAGTAAGGTTAATCAATGACGACCTTTCAGTGTTCATTAGCAACTGGGAATCTGTCATGTCTGGACTTAGCCACACACCGGACGAAACGACCCTAAGAGACATTTTCCTTCGTGAACTCAGACAGTCCAAGAGGCTAAAGTATGATCTTGAGATTTACGACAGGGCATCAGAGGGCACGGATCAGCACACGTACAGGTTTCTTGTGAAGTCACTTAAGGATCTTTTGACCCGAGAGCGCAAACGCAAGAACCGTGACCGCATCGCAAGATCTCACGGAGATAAGTACGGTGCCCCTGCCTCAAAGTCTCCTGGCCGAACTTCCAGCCCCTCTTCAAGAGGAGGCCGTGGCAGATCGCAGAGCCCAAGGCCAAGATCACCCAGCAAAGGTAGATCCCAGTCTCCCAGCAAGCCTAGGACACCTAGCCCAAAGGGAGTATGCTACGATTTCCTCAAAGGAACTTGCAAGCGAGGCAATAACTGCCCTTTCCTTCACAAGAAGAGATCATTGTCCCCCAAAGGCGACAAACAAAAGAAGAAAATCAACGTGACATGCAAGTTCTGGAAAGAAGGCAACTGCAACAAGGGTGACAAATGTCGGTTCCAGCATAAGGATGTAGAGAAGCCGTCAGCTCCCGCACCCAAGTCCGAAGCCGCCCCGGCAGCTCCAAAGCCAGGGTCACCTAGGGCCAACTCCCCTGCCCCGCGCAGAGGGAGAAGTCCCAGGGCCAAGTCAAGTGACAAGGCTCCAAAGACGGCCGCATGCGCCATCGCGTTCGAGAATACAGCGGATCTTGAGATCTCGCCAAAGCTCGCTATGGCAGCGTCACATGACGAGGACTACTGGGAGGTAGACTTCACCGGCAACAAGATCATCCGCCATCACAAGAAGTACCGAACGGATTGGTATGTTCCTGACAATTCATGTCCTGTGAACCCCAAGAAGCTTAGGAGCCAAGCTAAGCTCGAGCAGGTTTTGCCGGTCTCCCCTTTTGTTGGAAACAAGATCTACAACTGGAGGAAGACCCCAACCAAAGGACCCGGCAGCACATGGGTAGGAAAGACGATCTTCTACATGCAAGAACTCCCTAAGGTGAGTTTCGACAGCACAGTAGAAATGATTGCCATCGAACCGGAAGGAAAACAGAGAAAGCATGCCTACCTTCCCAGGGTTTATGATGAAGTCTATCCCACTGTCGAGAAATGTCCACGCTCGAATCCTAAGGATCTGAAGAGGGCTCTTGTGTGGGCAAAGCAGTTTGCCACCATGATCGAATGCATGGTTCACGACACGCCTGCGGGATGCGGGTATGAATGCATGGAGGAAGGCTTCCTCTGCGAGGAGTGCGAGCGACTTGCACGTCCGTCATGTGCAGGTCTGGTCCCCGGCTTAGAATTCCTAGCGGATACCGGAAGTGAAGAGGACCTCATCAGCAAGTCGGACTGCAGAACTCACTTCCCCGACGTACCCATAGAACCCGCCTCACGTCCTGTCTCTCTGATCACCGCCAATGGGCCGGTAAAAGGTAATGAAGCCGTTAAGCTTGAGGTCCCTGAAATCAACAAAATCCTCGAATGCTACGTGCTAGATTCAACGCCGCCGGTGTGCTCTGTTGGTAGGAGATGTATGGACGAGGGTTTTGATTTCCATTGGTACGCAGGGAAGACGCCTTACTTCGTGACACCCGAAGGCCGGAAACTTTACTGCAAGCTGCGCGGGCGAGTCCCGGTAATTGGGGATGGTACAATCGCTGTTCCCGCCAAGGATGAGAAGGCGGCTCATTCGCCAGTCATCCAGGCAACGTCGGGTTTTCCCCGTTCAGCGGCCTACTAAGGCACGCCAATGCAGCAGAATCCGAGCCGGAAGGCGAATCCTCGGGCAATGGCCTCGACCCCAGGATCGAAAAAGCACTGAAAGAGGCTGCTCCGTTAGGCATAAAGGCGGAGTACTTGAACAAACCAGGTTGGGTTTCGCATCCTTCCTTTCCACAGATGATCGTGGGGCACTTTCCCAAAACCTTTAGAACGCCTGCTACAAGGTTTCCAAAGCACGTCATCCGGAGTACTTGGACTTATGTCAAGAAATGGCAGGAGATCGAAAAGGACGTGGATGTAAGGACGTTGGACAATCGGGTAGCCAAGCTCCCTTCTGATGCCTGCATTCTCAGCGTAACGATCTTTAAAAGACCTGTTGATGACCCCGAGCCGGAGCCTGACAGCGAAAGAGAAGCTGAAGCTGACCCTGAAAAACGTTCAGCCCAGCTCAAGCTGCAGGCCAACAGCCCGGAGCACAAATTCACCCACCGTCCTAAGAACCCTTTCTGCAAGGTATGCCAAAAGGCCAAAATGCTAGCGCCGCATGCCAGAAAGCGAGGGGGGAGCTCCACTATCTTTTCGAAGAAGTTCGGAGACCACGTGACAATTGATCACATTGTGACCAAGGACTTGCGTGATTTTGGGATCGAAGGTGAGAAAGTTGCTCTTGTGGTTAAGGACGTGTTCACTAACTTTCGTTATGTGTACCCTGCAGGTA